TCTCTACAGGACCTGTCGGACCTGGCGATGCTATTAATTATACAAACAGTTCGCGTATCATGAAATGTTGTCGACAAGATGGTTTAATATTAAAACCAGATCGACCGTTGACAATGATCAATACTTTAGTATCTGAGTGGGCATACTACAATGGTGTTTCACAGGGTGAACTTTATTCAACAAGGACAACAATGTAAATAGAAATCTTTTTCTTGTGTTTATGATTCGATTTTTTTTTGGAATTTTCAGAAGTAACCAAACATTTCATACGATATTCGCATCGGCAATGCAACTAGATTATATGATATCTCCATCGATGATCGGCGCAGAAGCTGGAGTCATCTGGTCATATGACGATCCTGATGCTGTTGACACATTTTCAGATGTTAATACGTTAGATGTTTCAGCTTCCGATTGTGGCGATCTATCAATATGTCTTTGGTATGTGTCACCTTTAATGCAATTGAGCGATCCAGATCAAACATATTATGCTGTTCTTGGTGAATGGAATAAATGGACAGCCATCAGTCGACAACGTATTACCGAAATTAAGCCAGTCAATAGTACAGTTATTGTCTCACTTCAAGGTGTACCCAATGAAATAGTGCAAATGCATGTTTTTCATGGTGATTTATTGTCGGTAATAGTAAACTGTCAAATGTCAGCGGATGTTGGCACAGGTCGATTAACAATAACCGCCTCAAATGTCACTTGTACTTGATTGCTAACTATATCATTGAGACCGTATAATAACTACTCGAAATTTGATCGAAGTTCTAAAATATATCTGAATTTTCGTCTGCAAGGTTTCGTCATTCTTGATGGCCATCTTTTGTTTTCTACACTACATATCAGTGATATTGATCAAAGACAACTTTTGTTTATTCATTTTCTTAGTCTATCAAATACAATGAAATACAAATAACATAACAACTTTTGCTTTTCTTTCGTTCTCATTCACGCCTATTAGACATATGTGTTCGTATCATCGAAAGAACTCTAATTAATAATTACCTTCACAGATGTATGTTCGAAACTTGTTCGTGTGTATAAAAACAGAAGAGAAATCGATCATTTCCTCATTTATTCAAACATAACTTTCGTCGCATATTCGGTTAACGAATGTGGAAGATTCTCTTCGTAATCCTGACTCTATGGATCAACTTCTCCTTAGCTCGTCCAAGTGCTGAGCAGTCCGCGTCTGAGATTGATCTCTACAAAGCCAAGACCTTTATTCAAGATTTACTTGACCGATCAACGAACAAACACCGTCAAGCAGCATCATGTCAACGCTGTTTGAATGATAGTTCTCATTCTTCTTCTTCTTGTCGCCTGATTTGCGACAGCCAAACTGGATCTCCTCAGGAAACTAGTCGACATCGACTCCGCCGGTATCACGATAGTAAGTCGAATGACTCTTCGAACTATTTGCACGAGATTTTCTTCTTGTCTATTTAGGATAGCACGAATGCACGCCTATTGAATTACATTGACCAAACTTTTAAATTCGTTCCTTTCGATTATTCCCTTCGACAAGATGAATGCCTACATAATTAACCTCGTTCTATGAACTATTTTAGCTCCGGACTATATTAGTACCCAACGAGCATTCTCGACTTTTTTCCTTATTTTTCTTCTTCTCTTGTCACGTCATTGAGTTTTTTTTCTTCATGAGAATAAGCAAATGTTCTCATCTCAGATTGTACATTGACATTACTTTCCCTCTTTCCGCAGTAGAAGGATAGACAATGATCCTTCTCGATTTTATCGAATGAACGATTTCTTATTAATAAATGCTTTGGTTCTATATCACACGCAGTCAATTCTTTCGTATTTTACCTTCATAATTCAAGAATCATTGTAAAATGTGTTTCGCTCATTTGACTTTCTTGTGAAATGTAGATCTCGCCGGCAATTTCAAACGAACTGACTCAATTTTTGTCTTAGTATTGTTGTGTATATCATCAACAAGTCTTCTACTAAATGAAACTATTCCTGGAACAATCTATATATGCTAAATATACGTTTTAGTATCAATTGAAAATATCATATTTTTCGTTTGTGAGATTTACACTTGTTAGTTGAAACGTGTTTTCCAGTCGCTAGTCAACTAAAGATTTGATCTGAAGGACGCGCCGCATTCGTTCTGGTAGTTTAAGCAGTGCTTGTCATGGAAGGGAATGGACTGGACTAGTCTCTCTCTCTCATCTTTTCGAGTTTCTAGAAAAATAGTATCTAATTGCGAAAATCAAACTGTAACAGATTGTCTCGTTCAATCAAGGCCAGACGCGTAGGTTAACATAGAAACATGTACATATTTTTTTTACTTCCGGAGGCCCTCGTGTTCGACTGGATCGTTGATATTTACATTGTTATATGATTGTCTAGGTTATAAATAGTAAATTAGTTTCGTAGTCAGGAAAAACAAGTTGGTGTCGGAGAAAAATACTTCATCAGTGCAAGCTATTTTTCTCTTTTTTTCCATTTTTTTAAAACTATCAATGAGCATTATTAATAAGGACGTAGTTTCTTCTGGAAAACTGGAAATCAATCCTGGCTAATAATATTTTGTACATTATCTTTAACAAGGTGGATATTTTATTTTCAAATAAGTCATTAAAGCATTTGTTTGAGTGATATTTAACGTTTTTACAACTGAAACATTTGAATGATTCAATCCAGTATTCACTCTTGCATAGTCGATAGTTACAATTGTATAATTCATACCACTTGTTGCAACGTTGACGCCATCGGCCAGCCACGTTGTTCCTCCATCCGATGTCTGTATTCCGTTGTACGAAAGAAACATTCCGTTTCCTTTCAACATCATCGACGACCTTAAAACTTCAGAGAGAATTGTGCCCGGAACAGAAAGAATTGAAAGATAATTAACAAAAGGTAATACACGTAACACATCATAGCCGATGATCGTATCGCGAAGGATGTCATCGATACGTATTGCTCCGCTGTTAAATATACTTATCGTTGATCGATACATCGATGTCGCATACATCATACTTTTACAAACTGTATCAGATAGGAGAGTTTGTGAAGATCGAATAGCTTCTGATCTTCCATCAAGATTAACACCTGCTGGTAAACAGGAAATAGTTTCTTGTGGTACATATCCCAGTCGAGTGAATGCTTGAATACCTAAATTATACCAATGCTTAGCCACGTTTGCAGTTTTCTCCTCTTCGGCTATGTCTTCCGTTACTCTTGTCAGTGTACTGTAAACGCGAAACTCTTTTGTATCGATATTGTACACACATCGGTGAATAAACACTGTGTAGGCATTGGCATCTGCTTTATGAATTGGTGTGTACTTTGGACCTCGTAAATATGACACATCTTCATGCTCATGTCCGCCGAGGATCAAGTCGATTTGAGGAATATTCGAAGCGAGTTCGATATCGCGAGCGATGTCTAAATGAGTAAGTGCGACAAGAACATCATACGATTCATTAGGAAATTGTGCTAGAAATTGTCGAGTATAGTTGACCAACGATGAATCGTTTGTAAAACGAGCATAGGTCGATGGAGTAGCGAGTGTTAAACCAATGAGAAGTATCCGAACGCGGCTGATCGTGAGAATTTTATAGGTTAAACTAGATCCGATTGGTTGATTACTATTGATTTTAAAAACATTCGAACTAATCCATGAAAAATTAGATTCGTTCATCCTTGACAATAACTCGTTTTCGGTAATATCGAACTCATGGTTACCAAATGTGACATAATCTAGTCCAAGAGAATTCATTGTTGCAATCATCTGTCTACCATTCAAAGGTCTTCCATTGACTTTTGCTGTACTCAATGCGGAGGGCGAGACAAAATCGCCAGCAAGAATGGTATATGTTGAAGGATTTTCTTCCAGTAATAGCTGTCGTAAATATGCAACACGAGCTAAACCACCTTTGTGTCCATTGTCCTGTGGCAACAATTCATAAACATCGTTCATATGTAAAAACGTCCATTGAACATAATCTCTGTCATTAGGTAAACGTGGCGGAAAACCAATAATAGTGTTCAGATTATTTGGTGACGTAATTTGTGACGAATCTCTTTTGTGTCGCCATAATGTTCCATAAATAGAAGTCAAAACTAGCAGACAGAATATAACTGCTGATAGGAAAACGTATGCAGCACCGTGTGGAATGAGCATCGCTTTCCATCGATCGATATCAACAAAAACCATCGATTCAACTCGATCTACTTGGTAAAAAGAAAGAAGATTCTATGCATAGGGAAACATCGAATTGGCATGCGCTCTTGCTATCGTTAAGTAAAGTACTCAAAATCGATACTAGCTAAGAGACCTTTACACTGCTTATTTTTCATCGCTAAGCATCAATATATATTCATTGACACTCATCACTTGTTTTCTACGCATACTAAAATGTCAACGAATGCGCATTTTTATGCGTATAGGTTCAAATTATGACTCAAACAGTAGAAATGTACCAAGTAGTAGAGGAATAATCAAAAACAAATGTGCTTGTCAATTATTTTGTTTCAAAACATTGCAAAATAGTCATGAAGTAAACCCGTTGGGTGACCTTAATACGATATATTTCCTTGTATAAAAGGAATAGTTGATGAATTTATAAGTAGATTAGCGGATCTCGCGACATTTCAATGGTAATCCTTGTGAAAAATAACATTTATACGTACATTTCTCAAGTCATGTTGATAAAGAATTTCTACGACTATATCTCAAATCAGTGTACCACAGGAAACAAATATTATAATAGTATTTGAAAGGCCTATGTATTCGTGCATCACTTATTAGCAAGCAACAACATAGAATTCAGTAGGATAAAGACAAGAGTTCGTTTTTTATATGGAAACAATTCGCTCGTGCAAGGAAATACATCATACCGAAACAGTCTTATACAAGTCCTGAATTTAACATTTATGAAAACTTTCCATGGGGTTGTTTTGAACCATTGAAAACGAAGTGGTACGCAATGAAATCCGCCAGAAAATAGACGTTGTTTTCATACATGAATCAGTTTCCTGGTGAGCTATATAAACAGATCTGAGAAGGAAATTTTAGGCCATTTTGAGGATGTGTTTATGTTATTTTATTGAAATCTCAACTGTCCAAATTCTTCTCTTCAATACTCTCGGCTTAACATGAGTGATCATCTCTCGAACCGATGTTGATCTTGCTGGATATGAAACAGCTGCAATACATGCCCAGTATAGAACCGGTTGATTCCACACTTACACACAATTTTATGCTATTCAAACCACTGTTTCAGCCACTGTACCGTTTATCATCATTAGTGTATTTACTATTTTAACTGTTCGACATATACAAATAACTACGCCGAATGGTGTCACATCAACAGTAGTGAGTAATCGAGCTCTTCTGTTCAATAAAAATCGTAGTCGACGTGAATTCTAGCTGATGAAAATCTCATTTCTTCAAGTGATTTTCTATGTTATTCTCTTTATTCGTATTTAACAAGTACATTATCGGAATCAACAGATTAACTACTTCGCCTGATGTTCCCATTGGCAAAACGTTACCTAAAATCAGAATTCGTCTTGTGAGGAATTCCATATGAATGAAAGCCGTTCATTCACGCAATTACAATGGTGTATGCGTAGAGCGAAATGCATAATTTGATTTTTAATGCATTAATGCATTACATTTTTCCTCTACATTCAGATTGGTTCATCTATAAGTAACTTTAAAACCTTAACTTTTCTTTGTTTTACGAAATAGATTATTTCGAAAGTAATCGTCAATTCCAATGACTGATGATTCTCCGGATGAACTATCAAGTCCATCAAAGCCTTCAGTGACGGTCGCCAAGCACATTTACTTCGATGAAGATCACCATGAAACTAACGATGAAAATACATCGACACAACAGAAAATCATCGAACGACCAGTCTCCTCAACAGTTCGCATGGATGGAAGTGATTTAATATCACGCTGTCAAAATCTAATTCCATTATTATCAGATACAAATGCCATAACGACGGACAAAGACCAATCGAATGAAAAGGACGAAGAGGAATTCCATTTACCTGTTGACGATGATGATTCAAAATCTGAGAAAAGTGCAAAAGAAAGTGGCGAAGCTTCATCTTCAACCGATGAAGAAGTTGTGAAGAAAAAACGAAAAAAGAAGAAAAAGAAAAAGAAAAAAAAGCTAAAACCCAATGACACAGATATTCCTAAAAACAATCCAGATTTACCATCTCAATAAAAATTTTTAAAAAGTACAGCTTGTCTTCTTTTCTTTCTAGATTTTCGAAAAATTATGTCAGCTGAAGGTGATGTTAATCCAAAAGCTTATCCATTAGCAGATGCGAAGCTTACTAAGGACATTCTCGAATTAGTTCATCAAGCACATAATTACGTAAGAGGTTTCTTCTCATTCCAGCTCTCAAAATTTATATTTATCTCTCTAGCGACAATTACGCAAGGGTGCAAATGAAGCAACGAAAACTCTCAATCGTGGAAAATCTGAACTGATCAGTAAGTGTCATCCGTAATAGCTTCGCCGTCTCCATCGAAACTTTCTCTTTCAGTCATG